AATGATTTGCTGAGAGGGCTCACAAGGAAGCCAATAGCTCACTCAGCAACCTGAAAGTCACTAAAGAATCTAAGTGTGAGTTGACTCGAGAAGAAAATGTCTTAAAGGAAAAAGCAGAAAGTTGTACAAACAAAAGCACTAAGATTTTAAAATTGTAGCTATGAACTTTACAGTGATTCCACAGAATTATAAAAATTATAGCAGTTTTATTTTAAAATGGCCCAAGAGTCCATTGACCCAGAAGGACCTAGAATTTAATTTATGTTTAGAAAGGAAGAAAGGAAGGAATGGATGGATGGATGGATGGATGGCTGCTTATGATAGGGTGTCTTTCTCAGTGAATCTACAACTCCCTTTGAGGCTTAATTTAGAATGCAATAATATAACTCGAATACTTTTTTCCAACACTCCTCACCTTTTCTTACTTGAGATCTTTTGACCCACTCTGCCCACCATCATACAGACTGAAGTATTCTCTGGGCTCTGTAATAGCAGATCTCAGAACACTGCCCATCCACAATAATTTAACAAATCCTCCTTTGAAATTTGTATTACTCTGTAATAAAAAGTTGTCACCCCCATCTAACAAATAAATCCAAGGCATCCCTCTACTGGCTCATTTAACTTCCTTCCTCTCCAACTCCACCATCATCCTGAGTAATTTCTGCATGTGTGCATGATTTAACCTGGACACCACCGCAGCCTCACGGTTCCTCAGGCTTCTTCCCGACATCGGCAATCATCCAGATTACACTTCAGTCAATTATTGATCAAGTAAACCCGTTACAGCAACTTCTAATTTTCAAGCCCATCCTGTTTGTACACAAAATCCGTTCTTCACGCCTCGGAAAATACAGGATAATTACATCACACCTAGTGCATCAGCTGCTCCCGGCTTCCTTCCGCCCCCTGAACAACGTTGAGCCCACAGTCACACACTCCAAACAAGCTCCCTCACTAGCACTCTTGAAGCGTTTGCCTAAACCATAAACCAAACTTGTTAACCCCTAAAGAGGGTGTTCTTGCTCCTAATGATTTGATTCTGCAGATTCCTCACTACAAAGCTGGGCATTCCAGTTTCAAAAGGGATCCCCAGTGCTATATGTATCATCCAACCAATAGTCTTCCCACCCCACTGCTCCTCAGGGAAAATAAATAAAAACTATGAATCATGACCCTGCTTCTTACCTTCCCTTTCTCAATACCGCTCGCACACTAGAATGACCTAGGTCGTAGTTTTGTAAATGTCACCACCTTGGGCCCATCCCAAAACAACTGAATCAGAATGCCTGGGTATGGGAACCACATGGATGTTCTACATTTTTATTCGCTTCTAAAGCCTCACCTGTTCTTCCTCTTTTCTCTTAACAACCCACCACCACCTTGATCCACCAATTATGTTAACTTTTTCTAATTTCAATCATTTTCTCTTATAAATCTAAAACTATTCTAAAATGTAAATTTTATTACAAAATAGGCTATAATAAGCAAACAAACAAACACAGGTTATATTGAGCTAAGTGTTATTTAAAAAATTAAGGGTCCACATTTAACAATTTATTTAACAACATAATGCTTTAAGTAACATATTACCTAAAAGGAAGCATGACTTCATAGTATATTATGGTTAATGTTATCAGAATACATACAATTATATGTAACTGTGAAATACTTCAATAATAAAGTATTTCTAGACTATACCTGTCAGAAATACAATGACCAAATAAATGTATTTCTTCATGTAGTGGTGAATATAGGAAATCAATGTATTCAATTTTTTGCAGCAAGCAAATGACTTTCCTAAAATATATATGGTATTATAGTATACCCAGAGACATTCTGTATTTGGGGGGAAAACTGAACTCTTACACCAAAATGTCAATTAAGGTGGTATTTTTGCCTGCGTAGGGCTTCACAGCGCCCCTTAAGCTGTATGCACCCCCTCTCCACACGCACTAGCCCTGTGCTACAACAGTCTTCACGCCCTCCCTCTTGAGTGCTGGTCCTCAGACTTGGTAGGAGGGGAACTCAGAATCATCTGCAGTGCTGTTCTTCACAATACTCTTCTTCAGCATCTTCTCTGCCCACTTTCAGCCATGCCTCCATATACACTCGTTATTAGGTTGTGATAAGGTCCTTCTTGAAAATTTCAGGACACTGAAATCCCCTTTCTACAAGCTCGTACGAACAAAACTTTTTTTTTCATTGATCAATGTTACTAAAAGCTTCAGTTTCCACTGAAGTTCAAAATGGTTTAGAAATCTAAATGAAGTCTGCATATGCATATACAACACACACAGTGTGGATGTGGGACCGTCACACAAAAAAGCGACTGTTCCGGAGAAGAAACAGCGGTCCAGTGGCCGGCCATGAGGAGACAGACGACTGGGGATTTCCCTAGCCACAGAGGAAGTGGGATGTGTACTGTAACGTCTCCCGAGAAAGGACCTCCAGGCCCAAATGGTTTTATTAGAGAACTTTTCAAACACTTAAGGAAGTAGTAACACAATCTTCTAAAAATTAAATTTTAATTTTTCACAATCTCTTCCAGAAAAATAAATGAGGAGGGAACATTTTGCCAACTCACTTTATGAGGCTAATATTACTCAGGTCCCAAAAACCAGACAAAGAAACATAAAAATGATATAAAAATGATACAGATCAATATGTATCATACACTTAGATACAAAATTTTCAATAAAGTATTAGCAAATAGAATTCAGTAATACATAAAAAGAATAATATGCTACAATTAAGAATTTACTCCAAATTGTAAGACTGGTCCAACATCTGAAAATCATTTAATGTAACCCACGATATCAACAGATTAAGGCAACAAAATCATATCAATACACAACAACAACAAAAAGACAAAATCCAACACCCATTCAGAATAAAAACTCTCAACAAACTATGAATAAAGAACTTGCTCAACTTAATAAAAGACATTTATAAAAATCCTACTGCTATTTCATACTTGATGAAAGACTGAATGCTTTCTCCCAAAGATCAGAGCAAAATGAAAACATATTACTTTTACAAAAAATACATAGCAAATAATTTGGAAATCTGGAGCTAAGCAAAGAATTCTTCAATTTGACAAGAAAAGGCAGAACTTTAAAAGGAGAAAGTGACAAATTAGACCTCATCAAAATTAAAATCTGCTGAGGACCCCATTTTGAGCATGAAAACAAAGGCATGGACTAGAAGAAAATATTTGAAAACCACATATCTGACAAAGCACTAGAATCTGCAATATATAAAAACCTCTCAAAGCTCAGTAAAAAACTCCAGTTAGAAACTGGCAAAAGACATGAACAGACATTTTACTGAAGAGGATATATAATGACAAATAAGCACAAGAAACAATGTTCAACAAGAGAAATAAGCACATAAAAACATCTTCAATACCATTAGTCATTAGAGAAATGCAAAATACAGCCACAATGAAATAGCACTCCATCCCTATCAAAATGGCTAAAATAAAGTAGTACCACAGCAAATGCTGGTGAGGACACAGAAAAAACTACCTCAACCTACACAATGCTGGTGGGAATGCAGAAGGACACAGCCACTCCGGAAAACACGGAGACAGTTTCTTTTTCTTTTTTTTTTTAATTTCTTTTTTAAATATTTTATTTATTTATTTTTAGAGAGGGAAGGGAGGGAGAAAGAGAGAGAGAGAAACATCAATGTGCGGTTGCTGGGGGTCATGGCCTGCAACCCAGGCATGTGCCCTGACTGGGAATCGAACCTGCGACACTTTGGTTCACAGCCCGCACTCAATCCACTGAGCTACGCCAGCCAGGGGAGACAGTTTCTGATAGAGCTGGACACGAAACCACCACACAACCCAAGCACCACACTCTGGTGTTTATCCCACAGAAACAAAACCTTCAGTTCACACAAAAATCTGTACAAGAATATCATAGTAGTTGTATTTGTAATAGCCAAAACTACAAATGATGTTGATGTCCTTTCACAAATGGATGGTTAAATAAACTGTGGTACATCCATGCTATGGGATATTACTCAGTAATAAAAAAGAAGAAATTATTGATGAATGCAACTATTTCAATGGATTTTGAGGGACTTATAAGAAGTAAATAAAAGCCAAACTGCAAAGATCCTACACTGTTATGATTCCATTTCCATTAACACTCTTGACAAAATAGAGAAATGGAGAACTAATTCTGGCGGCGGGAAGTAGAATGGAGGTGGGAGGCGGCAATAAGGGCAACAGCAAAGATTCTTCTGGGGATGGACCTGTTCTGTATTTTGACTATATCACTACCAAATACCCTGCTTGTGATATTGTACTACAGTTATACAAGATGCTGCCACTGTAGGACAATAAGTAAAAGGCATATGATTTGCCTCTTTTATTTCCTACAACTGCACATGAACCTACAATTATCTCAAAATTTTAAAAAAGCTTAAATAAAAAAACAGCATGTGTTATATATGTATTATATTTTTACTTGTCCAAAATGTTGTTTAGTATATTCCTACTAAAAAATATTTCATACATTCCAAATCGTTTACTTCTATTTCACAGGAGGCAAGTTCTAATCACGGAAGGGATCTAAAACTAAATGGACTTCCCTAGTAGCACAGCCACTCTATTAAACTATTAAAACAGATTATGTCTAAGGGAACACTTCACTGTCTACAAGATATAATTAGATGAGCTATGTAGGCAATATTCAAACCTAATTCTATCATGTTCTTACCTTTGTATAGGAAATAAAGGTAACAAATGTTATTATGATTATATGTGGAATTGGTCAATACATATTTTACACAATACAAGAATATGGGCCTCTCAATGTCATTTTCTAGAATACCATGATTTTTAGCTCACTTTTACATGCTCATAGTTATATCTGACCACAACACTGAACAACTGTTTAATTCTTATACATTGATATTAGATCTAACAGAACACATATGTAAGCATGGGATATTCGTTTTTAAAGATTTTTAAATGCATTCGTTACCTGCACACTGAACACTGCCGCTGGGGCTGAAGGGCCGTGAACATGACGATCATAGAATAGTTTCGAGGCGGCGCCTTTATAAATTTCCGGAACTTATCGCCATTCATTCGGAAGATTGAGCGCCTGGAACTCCACTCCATCAGCTGCTCTACCTTTTCAGCTAAAAGATTCTGCAATTAAACACAGGAATTTAAATTTACACAGGGCTTGAGTCCTTCAGTGTATATTTAGCATAAACAGAATCATGTGAGATTACATTTTAGCTAACATCACCTTTGGTTAAAAGTTCTTGTTTTGGTGAGTATGTACATTGTTAATTGACCTTATATGCACAAAATAGTTCATTTTACTTTCCTTAATGATGTCAGAGGTTTATAAAACAGATATAAAAGATAAGATAGACTTCCACCTCCAGAAAGATGAAACAGACATGCTCTTCCCCAATTCTCCCACCAAAGACAACTGCAAACTTTGGTCATTGTATAAAAACAAGCACAAGAAGGCTTGGAAAAGTGGAAACCAGGAGGAGGACTGGCTGCAGACCTTGGACCTGAACATACACACCATGGCGGCGAGTTTGCTGGGTGGGTTTTTTGGGGGGGGTGTTTTTGGCCTCATCTAGTCTAGACTGGTTGCTGGAGTAGTTGGCAATCTAAGAATTCCAATGAATACAGACCAAAAAATAAACATAAAAAACACCAAGAAAAGCCTGGTTTCTCTTCATAAGGGAATAAAAAAGAGGGGGTGGCACAATAACAACAGTAACTGCTTTGCTCTGCTCTAGCCAGACCCCAGATCCCACCACCACCCTCACTAGCAAAGCTGAACTTGATCTTAAACTGCCCTCGAAGTTTTGACATGTGACAGCAGGGAGGAATCTCATAAATACAATAGGGTGGAATCTCATAAGTACAAAGTGAGGGAAAGAAACATGCACAGTCTGCTGAATGGTTCTATTTACATCAAGGTCAAAACAAGAAAAATCAATCTACTGTGCTTGGAATCAGGATGTACAGAAACCCACACAAAATGGAATGTTTTTCAGTCTTCAAGAAGAAAGAAACCCTGACATTTGTGACAATATGAATGAACCTGGAATATATTATACTAAGAGAAATAAGACCCAGAAAGATAAATATCACATGATCTCAGTTATGTGTGAAATCTAAAAAAAAAAAAGGAGAAAAATAAAAAGTAGTTAAATCCATAGTAACAGAGAGTAGCATAATGTTTACCAAAAACCTGCAGGGGGGTGCGCAGCAAAGGGGAGATGGTAATCACGGGATACAAACTTCTAGTTATCAAGCGAGTAAGTTCTGGAAACCCAATGTACAGCATGGTGACAATAATAATAATCACGCACTGCACACTTGAAATTTGCTAATGGAATAGTATTCTTTAGCATTCGCACATTTGAAAAAGGTCACTGTGGGAGGGGGCAGACATGCTAATTAGCTGCATTGTGGTTAACCATCTCACAATGTATACATATCTGAAAACATCACATTGTGTTCCTTAAATACAGACAATTTTTATTTGTCAACAAGTTAAATGTACTTAATAAACAAAAAGTTAAGTTAAAATGTTAAGGGGACTTCTGTTTCAGAAAGGTCTGTCAAGTTGCACAGCGGAGAGCGGACGGGGAGAGGGAGTAGACAGAGAAGCTGGCTGAGAGGCAGCAGAGGTCGAGGGGGAGCAGTGAAAATGATCCGAGAGCCATGCAGCATCCCAACCGACAGGGCGTGGTGATCGCACAGGAGTGGGGTGCAGGAAGGAATCAAAAATGACACTGAAGTTGTTGCTTAGAGCATGTGAGTGGATGACGTTCTCACCCGGTACAACAGGGAAACACGAGCAGCAGGACAAGTGCACAAGACGCCGAGTTCAGTGTGGGATATGCTGGGCAGATGTGCCCACATGCTGCTGAAGGGCAGGGACCTGCGGGCTGCTCGTTCCTTCCTACACGCCGGATGCCTACAGTAGACACTAGCACACAGCATATGTCAATAAATATTTGCAGAACTGACAAATTACAGCATGCTAATTTCCTGAAAAGTAGCATTCAGAAAGTACGTTGACTTGTGTTAAATTTCCAATTACAGGCGACATTCAATATTGTATTAGTGTTAGGTGTACAGCATAGTGGTTAGACATACAACTTATAAAGTGGTTCCCCCAATCAGTCTGGTAGCCACCTGGCACCACACATAGTTACTAGAATACTATTGACTACATCCCCTACGCCGTACTTCACATTTCCTTCCGTGAGTACTGTGTCACTGCCAATTTGTGCTTTTTAACCACTTCACCTTTCCCCCAGCCACCAACCCCACTCCTATCTGGCAAACATCATTTATTCTGTGTCTGTGAGTCTGCTTTGTTTGTTTCTGCTTTTTAGATTCCACATATAAGTGAAATCATATGGTATTTGTCTTTCTCTGTGTGACTCATTTTACTTAGCATAATCCCCTCCAGGTACACGCATGTTATTGGAAATGGTAAGATTTCATTCTTTTTATGGCCAAGTAATGTTCCACAATATATGGACCACATCTTCTTTATCCAACCCTCTATCGATGGGCACTTAGGCTGCTTCCCTGTCTTGGCTATTATAAATCATGTTGTGATGAACACAGGGATGCGTATATTTTTTTTGAATTAGTGTTTTGAATTTATACAGATAGATATCCAGAAGTGGAATTGCTGGGTCATACGGTAGTTCTATTTTTAACCTGAGGAAACTCCACACCGTTTTCCACAGTGGCCGCGCCAGTCTGCAATCCCACCAACACAGCATGAGCGTTCCCTTCTCTCCACATCTGTACTAACACTTGTTGTTTGCTGCTTTACTGATGCCAGCCGCACTGCCTGCCACGTGGTGCTACCTCACTGAGGTTTTCATTTGCATTTCTCTGATCATTAGGATCACTGAGCATCTTGTCATATGTCTACTGGCCATCTGTATATTCTACTGAATAAATGTCTACTCAGGCTTCTGCCCATTTTTTCATTGGCTTGCTTCTTATTTATTTTGGGTGTTAAGTTGTATGAGCCCTTTATAAAGTTTGGATATTAACCCCTTATCGGATGTATCATTGGTAGGTTGTCTTTTCGTTTTGTTGGTTTCCTTTGCTGTACAAGAACATTTTAGTTTAATGTAGCCCCATTTGTTTATTTTTCCTTTGCCTGAAGAGCTGTATCATATATATAGAGAGAGAGATACATCATGTATAGCATGATATACATATACATATACATATGAGCAACATTGCTAAAAGCTATGTCCAAGAGTTTATCACCTATGTTTCCTTTTAGGAGTTTTATGGTTTCAGGTCTTACATTTAAGTCTGTTATCCACTTTAAGTTTACTCTTGTACATGGTGTGAGAAAGCAGCCTAGTCTCACTCTTTTGTATATTACCTGTCCAGCTTTCACACCATTTACCTCAGACGTTGTTTTTACCCCATTGTATATCCTTGCCTCCTTTGACATAGATTATTTGACCATACAGGTACGGGTTTATTTCTGGGCTCTCTGTTCTGTTCCCCTGATCTAGTCAACACAGTAGTGACCGTATATGACAGACCCACAGCTAACATCACACTCCACAGTGAAAAGCTAAAAACACATTCCTTAAGATCAGGAATAAAGCAAGATGTTCACCTTCACCGCATTTATTCAACACAGTCCTAGACACGGAATTCAGACAAGAAGAAATGAAAGGGATCCAGACTGAAAAGGAAGAAGTAAAACTGTCCTTATTTGTAGATGACATGATACTGCATACAGAGAGCCCTAAAGATTACATTAGAAACTACTAGAGCTCATAAATTCATTCAGTAAAGTAACAGGACACAAAACATTCAGAAATCAGTTGAGCTTTTATACACCAATAATGAACTCTCAGAAATAAAGAAAACAATCCCATCTGCAATTGTATAAAAAATGAAATACCTAGGAATACATTTAAATGGGGTACAAGACCTGCAGAGACAATTACAAGATACCTCATATATCTCATCCCTGGGATGGAGTACCTAAGAATCAGTATTTTTCTTAATGTATTTCTTCTATAGTTCTAACATGAAGACTAATTTGAGACGCCACTGCTTTATTCAATCTCAGAAACATGGCGGTTTTTTATATCACCAGGCCTAGCACAAAAGAAACACGTACCTCACCCTTCTTCTACTGTCACTTCTTAGTGAACTTCTGTTGTTCCACTGAAGCCAGTTCATGCAAGGATTCTTCCATCAAGCCACCTAGGGACTAGCAGTCCCTCCTCTGGAGAAACTCTACCAGACCACGCACCACATTTCTCATTCCTCATATGGCTGCCTCTCCCCATCCAGTCTCAGTTCCTCAGGGGCAAAAATCATGCCTTATGACCTTGGCAGCCCCAGATTCTTGAAAAGTCCAAAGGACATAACAGATACTGAAGCTATATGTCATTGAAGTAGGAGTTCTGCCACCCCTTTAATTAGAAGTTTTTAACTAATAATTTAGGAGATACTTCTAAATTCTCTCTACAAGAGCAATATAAAGATAGGAAAGAACCAAAAAATATCTCTGAGCTCTAGTAGTTTTTTTTTCTTTTTTAAGAGAAAGGGGAAGGAGAAAGAGGGAGAGAAACATCAGTGTGTGGTTGCCTCTAAAAGAGATTGGTATTCTATAAACACATATCAGAGGCAAATTTCTAGGAGCTTAAATTTTATATACAAATTTATAAACTTCTAAAGTAGAAATTAATCAAGAATAGTTCTACTTTTTTTGGCATATTCATTTCTGAACCTATTCCCATAATATACTAGGTTAGTTACTGTTACTCACTTTCCACCCATAAGGAGCAAAGTGATCAGTATTCACATCTCTTGCCTCAAGCAACTTACCCCTGTTTTAGAGTCAGCAACCCAAGAGTCAGAAGCACCTGAAATTGCTGTAGGATGTGCGGCTTTGACTCACTATTTTAGAAGCCTCACATCTGTGCGCACTAAAAACCTCTAACAGGTCACTGTTAACGGCATCATTTCTGAATTTTCTCATCTTTGCACACCAGAGAAACATTACAAGGTATACAATAAACTATGTTAACTACATCGACGGTCTTTATAAGCAAAGAAAATCATAAACCTGTTGAAGCCAAATTAAAACTTGTGCCTTCCCACCTCGC